CAGCTTACAGACGCTATGTGGGGGGAGGGGACCCACTTATTCGGATGTGCCCAGGAATTTCCTAGTTTGACAACTAGAGGCCTCACGTCCAGGAAAAGCTCTTAGTCCTGGGCAAACTGGGACAGTTGGTCGCTACAGCATGGGGACCTGTCTCTTGGGCATGTGGAAGAATTTTCTGTATATTCTGAAACAAGCATTTCAAAAATCTCTTTGAATATCTAAGCTAGGTTTATATTCCTGTTCAAAGGTTAGGATAAGCGACTGCAAATAGTATCCCAGAAATATCTACTCCTGGAAATAAAATAGTAAGAATGCAACTTAAAATGCTGAAAAAAGATAAATAAGTTTACAGTAGCCAAATGTAGGGTAGCTAAGTGTGGGTTCTATGATGCTACTGGCCTAAAACATGTGCATGGAAAGGTAAAAAGTCCAAGGCCACTTTTTGGCTATTTTTTTATAGACATGGCTCTAAACTTCATATACTTAGCCTCAGCACCCTGAACATGACATTGACTGGTTAAGAGCACAGGCATAGATTCAAGTCCTAAATCTATCACTTATTGTGTGACTTTGGGAATTTTAGTTTACTTAAACTCTCTAATTCTTAGTTTCCTTATCTTTAAAATAAGATAATTGTCAAAAACATGAGATAAAAATGTAAAAGATTTAGTATGTGTACCTGGAATATAATAAAGTGCTAACATATAGCCATTAGAGTTGTATATCTTTTCACTTTTACCCAAGTATGATGGTATTATATAGACATAGCTTGAGACTCATTAGAAAATCATAGTTCCTTATCATAAATGAGCATCCGTGAGAGACAAAAGACTATCTTTAATGATATAACCATTAAAAAAACAGGGAAAAAAGCTTATAAAACTTTAATTGCTTAAGTAAATACATAGGAAATAACCCTCATTCTACTCATAGAATAACTACTCATTCTTCTACTAGAGTAGGAGAATCATCACAAGTGTGGCTTTACCCTCCCTGAGCTCAATGGCCTATACTGCTGTTACTAAGAAAAGGGAGGAAAAGAAAACTAAATTTTTCCAAAAATCAAGAAGAGAATATTTAAAAAATAGTACTATGTTAGGAAGGAAGAGAATGAAAGAAATTGATTTTTGAGTCGGGCTTTTCAGAAAAGCAAAGAGAAATTATTGGGAAGGAGCTCGAGTGATTCATTAAGGCCACATTTTTTGTACTTCCTCTTCCCACCCCAACCCCAGTCTCCCTCCACACTTTCTTTCTCCGATTAGAAAAGTTATTGAGAAAACAGGAACCTGAATTACCAAGTTTGGAACCATGGTTTATAGTCACTTAAAAGACTGGCAAGCTGCCACTTATTTTAGCTACAAAAACTGAACAAGATAACAACCCATGTTCAAGATGTTATTTCTTAAAATAGCGATTAAATGGCAAAACCAAAGTATGCCAATTAACACACTTCAGTATTCTTTTGATTTTTATAACATAATTAAATATAATATATAACTTTATTTTTCTATATACTTTAATCTGTTAGATCAATATTTCTGATTCAGTAGAGCTTCTTCGGTAGGAAAAAGCTGCTGCTGTGGTCTTGAACTAAGAGGTCAGAAAAAATGTAGGGAAATAAGGACAAGTGTGCATTCAATGTCTCTGCATGTTTCCCTACATCCATTATCTCAGGAATAGTCACAACATCTCTGAACTTATATTAGCTTCATTTTTTTAAAATAAAAATAGAAGCCAGAGAAATTAAATACGTTTCCAAAGTCACAGAACTCATAAAAATGGTTAGGTTAGCTAATATTTACTGCATTATCTCATCAATCCATAAAACCCTAAAGGTTGGATGCTATTATTCATTCAGTTTTAAAAATGAGATAGCAAGATAAGTAACTGGTCTGGAGTCACAGAGCTGGCAAGTGGATCTAATCAAGTTAACCCACGCAGTCTGCCTGCTAGTGCTGGCTCCTTCCCTATGCCATTCTGTCTATCTTACAAGCCCCATTGAATTCATGCCTGACAAAGGGAAATGCTTAGAATGCAATTCTACACAGAGGTGGTACTCAATGAATGTTATCATCAGACTGAATCTTTCTTGTTTTTTTCCCCCCTAAAGAACTCATAATATAGGAAGGAGAATGAGTTTAGACTGTCTAATAATTTCCTGTCACTTCCTTTTCAGTTGGGTACTGTACTTCAAATGGTGACAGAATGGAAGTCTCATTCATTATTCTTCCATTTATTTATCCCACAAATATTCTATGAGCCCTAGATTGCAAGCCTACTGTTGAAATAAAACCACAAAGATGTCAACCATGGAATGAGGATTAATAATCTGCTAGCAAGGAATAGCTCATCAGGCCCCAATAATTACATGAGTGAGTTTTTTATTACTTGAAGTACAGCTCAAATCTTTTCTTTATTTTATGTTTACCTATATTTTTCTTGACTTCATGTAGTCCCCACAGGACCTATATGGGATAAGATGCTAAGCCTGCCTTATAGGTGAGGGGACTGTCACTTGGGGAAATCAAGGTGCTTGCTCAATCTCACAGAACCTACACGTCCTGACCCAAAGTCCATTGGTCTCTCCAAGGGCTGACAATTTCCTTCTAGTTGCATGAATTCAAAATTATTACTAAATGAGAATAATATATATGCTCCAGACCTGAGCCTGTTTTGTGACCCAGAATCCATTGACTGTAGGGAAGGCTGGGATTCCAGGAGGAAGGACATTGCAACAAACACTATGACAAGCAGACAATCGTACCCTGAATCTTTACCCAAAGGGAACCACTGTGGTATTTAGGTAATAGTACACTGGGGTAAGCGGGATATGTTTTAAGCATCATTGGACACTGGATACAAGCTGACATTGTTATCTGGGAACCTGAAGCATTTGCACTGTCTTCCCTTATAGTGGGCTCATATAGCAGGTGCTCACATCATTAATGGGGGATCATGGCCCAGGTCTGGCTGACAGTGGATCTGCTGAGTCCACAGACCCACACAACAGTCATTTCCCCCAGTTGCTGATATTTAATTGGGGCACACATGCATGTTAGTTAGTATGACCCCTTACATACTGTTCTTTGGACAGCAGAGAAAGAGTTACCATGCTGGGGAAAACCAAGTGGCTTTCACTCCCACCAGCAGCCAAAAGAGTAAATCAGGACCTGTATCTAGTTAACTGAAGACCACATATTCATAGGAGAGGGAGAACAGGGTTAGCTATTGAAAGTTTCCAATACAACCAGCGAAATCAAAATCTATTTCACAAGTTTGTAAAGCTCTCTCCATTAGTACAGAAACTTTAAAATTTAATTTTGGGAGTTAGTTAATTTTGTATTTAATTTTCTTTCTATAGATCCTTAGATACTCTCCCAATACAATCAAATGTATATAAACCTTAGACAATATCAGCTAATGTTTTTCTTTTTAAGAATTCATTTTTATCTCTAGGTAATACAAATGTGATGCTATCACTCACTTTTCCTTAGTTTCTAGGTCAGTGAGAACTTGGGATAGGTACTCACAAAGGCTTTCTCTAGAAAACATGAGTAGGAGTAAATCCCTGTGAAATTTTAAATGGTTAGTCCAGATTTTGATGAAAATACCCAAATCATACCAATGGCATAATGATTTTATTTTGCATATAAAAAGAATAATCCTAAAAGGAATTTTGCCCTAAAAGAAATAATTTATCCTTTTGTCCTATGTCCTGAAAGAAATACTATCATTCATGTATAAATACAAATATCTACATTTTTACTTTTATTATTTTAGATAAAAATACAAAATAATTAATATATTTGTAGCTATAGGTTCAAAACTGTATAAGCTCTATAGGGAATATAAAACATTAAATATACACTATATGCTCTCAAAGAACTAACGAGTGACCTGCTTATTTAGATTACTATCTGAGTAGTACCGAGGCAGGTAGTTACATTTCAAATAAACTTTGAGCCCTAAAAGCACTGAAGACAATCTCAGAAATGCAGGGTCAGACTGAGTGGCTCCAACCCCGCACATCTCCCCTAAGGTGCTTTAGTTGGTCATTTCATTTCACTGAGCCGCACCCTCCCTCTCTGTAAAATAGGTTTTGTGAAGTTTAAATGAGATCAGATAAAGCCCTTAGCACAGACTCTGGCACACAGTAAGTACTCAGTGAATATTAGCTACTATATTTCCTATTATTTATTACTGGGGAAATAGTCACAAGTGAAAGAGAGGAATATTAGTAGTCAACAAACTAGGTTCTTTCAGATGTTAAGACATAACTTCAAAGCTGGATGGAGTCCTTTTCAACCCCCCCTCCACCAGCAGCTCCTGCAAACACTAAGTCTGGAGACATTGAACATTGGATACAATTAGTACAGTGCACTGTGAAAGCATATCCCCAGTGCCCTGCCCCCCCAAAACTTGCAAGCCCTAAGCCCTCTTTTCCTACCAAAATCATCACCATATCCCACCACTGAGTTTTCTTCAATCTTCCCTTATCTTAAAAAAAAATGACCTGCTTTACAATCTGCATCTTACTTCTACTGGGACTTCGTGACCAGGGTCCTGGCAACAGAGGGTGTAAAGCAGCAGGACATTCAGAACACAAAAATCTCAGCAGGCCCTGCCTAACCGACCCGTATGAGAGGGACCACTTTCTAAGTCATTGCAAAGTGACAGGTGTCAGTCACATACAAGTCGAATACTCTTCCCGTCCCTTTGCCCCTTTGGGTATCTTAGAGACAGGCACTGAAATGAAAAATCACCTGTGCCTGGAAGGAAAACACCACGTATGCTGTTAAAACACGTTTCTCCTTTCAAATGTTTTGAAGCCCTGGCAGACAGTTTGCCAAAGCAACACTTTTTGGTGAAGTGGCCACTGGAAGCAAATTGTGACTGAACATCTTAGCTAAACTTCTGTTAACTAAATAATGAAGCTCGCATTGCTAAAAGTAGGATTAACTCCTGAAGCTGAGAAAGGTTACAGTGATCGGGTTTCTTACCTACAATGATGCCATAGGAAAAAAACAGAAAGTAGATATTAGGGGCACAGCTGCTCAACATGAGGCCTCCAGCCACCATGAAGCCACTGAAGATCGTCACGGCTCTGGCTCCGAAAGACGATACACAGAGGCTGCAGATGGGACCTAAAAAAATAAAGGAAATCTTCACTTACTTAACAGCAATCTCCTTTTCACAATCATATTACTCATCTCATCATAAGCTTAAAATGATTCTCTCCATCTTAAAGTAACAACACTAAAATAATAATGAACATCTCCCGTGTATTTACTATGAGCTGGACACTGTGTGAGTACTTTGCATAAACAGCCTCATCTCATTTTAACCTCACTGCAACCCTGAGAGGTCGATACTATTGTTATCCTCACTTTTTTGTTGTTAAGGAAATTAAGATTTCAAGATGGTAAGATCACATAGTTAAAAAAATGGGGGTTCTGGAGTCAGACTTTCTTCAAACTTGGGCTCCACTCCTTTCTGGCTCTTTGATCTCAGGCAACTTATTTGATCTACGTGCCTCAATCTCTTCATCTGAAAACTGAATGAACAATAGCAGCCCCTCCTAGTGTTACTGTGAAGACAAGTGAGAGCACAGATGTGAAGCTGGTCACAAGGCCTGGCACAAGTCACTGCCCCATCAGCGCTCATTCTTCTGTGACGTGAGTGGCGGCAGCAGCTGCTGCCAGAACAATCGCAGAGTAAAATCCCAGTTAGTCTGACTCCTGAGCCCATGGTCTGAACCCTCATACTCTGAGGACTTTTGTCCCCTGCCTGTCCCATGCACACTTCCTATGCAGAGCTCCTTTTCAGCACAACGCCAATTATACTGTTGATGATGAAAACAGATATGTTGATTGACTGAATATGAACAGCAACCCTGTAAAGGGAAGAGGTGAGGGTGAGGTAGTTACTCTCCTCCTAGAGAATATTCTGGCAAGTGGGGCTAAATGGAAAAGCTCCCTACTCATCCAGGCAGAGGTCTGTCTGCACCAATGCCCTACATTCCATATATAACCTGGAACTGGGGGAAGGAAGCCCACTGCTGATTGCCAGGCAGAAGTGACCACTGCCAGGACTTGTCCCCTGCACAGGTGGGCAACTTCTCATGAAACAGCATTTAAGTGCTAGTAAAATTCTTTCCCACTAGCACTGTACCTGGAAAGCACCTGTGACTACAGAGTTTAGCATATTAGAAGCAAAAGAATATTAAGGGTTATTCAGTCCAATAGTCTCATTTACATTTACAAGGAAACTAAAGCTCAGAGAAGTTGTCCAAGCCTAGTGTAAAAGAAAGAGCTCAGGATGTGGAACCAAAGAAAAGTATAGCATCACTGAGTTGATAAAAACCTTCCAATAATAAGGTACAAATTATTATCTCTAATTTTTAAAAAGCACACTCACCACACTCACCAGATGGCTAACAACAGACAACAGCGTTGGCAAGGATGTGGAGCAAGAACTCTTATAAACTGCTGGCATTTATCTCCTAACGCTGAACATAGCACCCTGTATAACCAAGAAGTTCCACTTCTATGTATACACCAGATAGAAACCGACAGATGCACCCAAGAGAAACACCTACCTTAAAAGTTACGTACATAGATGCTCACAGCAGAACTGTTCACAGTAACCAAACCTGAGAAACCCAGGTGTTTAGCAGCAGTGGAATGTGTAAGTAAATTGGGTTATTGAATGGCAATGACAGTGAATGACCTACAACCACACAGAGCAACACAGGCATATCTCACCAACATTGTGGAGTGAAGGACACCAAACACAAAAAAGCATACACCATGTAATCACCATTATAAAAAGCACCCCCCATAAGACAATAGCAATCTACGACGGAAGGGCAGGATAGCGGTTGTGTTTGGTAGGAGGCGAGGCCTCATGACCGGAAGGGAGGACAGCCCACCTTCCAGGGTCCTACGAGCGTTCTGCTTCTTGATGTGCTCACTTCATGGGTGTATTCAGTGTGTGAACATTTCATTGGGTTATAAACTCTCATGATATATATACTCTTCTACGTATATATTTTTCTTTTTACTTCAATTTAAAAAGTGTTTTAAGAAACCTCAAATGCAGAAACAAATACAGACATGATTGGCGCATGGTCTCACTGTAAGAGGCAGAGCCAGCATGAGATGACCCCAAGGCCAGCACTCTTGCCAATCACAGCAGTCACCCTACTCCACGGTTTCCCTCCCCACAGTTTCGGCCACCCTCAGCCAACCATGGTCTGAAAACATTACAGGGAAACTTCCAGAAACAAACAATGTATACACTTTAAATTTTATGCCATTCTGAGTAACGTAATGAAATCTCTCGCCACCCTGCTTTGTCCGTCCGAGGTCTGGACCGACCCTCGGTCCAGGGCTTCCACGGTGCATGCTCTCCATGAGCACACACATTAGACACTTAGAGCCATCTCGGTTATCAGATGGCTGGCTCAGTGCTGTAGTTCCCATGTTCAAGTAACCCTAATTTTGTAATAATGACCCCAAAGCTGTCCATGTAACTATTCTCACAGTATATTGTTATAATTGCTCTATTTTATCATTCGTTGTTGTTATCCTTTAATGTGCCTAATTTGTAAAAAAAACACAGTGTACATAGCGGTTGATGCTGTCTGTTGGTTTCCGGAATCCAGTGGGAGACTCAGAACGTGTCCACTGTGGATAGGGGGGTCCACTGTACTGGGGAATCCCCTAGGAGCACATTTAAGAGCAGGTTATGATCACTGAGACAGCATATAGCTCTCAGGGCCTGTGGCTCTCTCACATTCCTCCCTGGTCATGAACTGACGCCTGCATTTCAGGTCCTCTCTTGTGTGAGTCAGTACAGAAGAGCATATATTTATATGACGAGTGGGAATATTCTGTGCCAGTGTTTTAAAGGAAAAATATATCTGAAATACCAAACTTTTCCAATAGTGTAGCTGTCTGCATACCCAGTGGAAAATAATTTAGATACTTCAAAGGTAGAAATGATTTTAAGATTCAAATCTCCTAACTGGTCGTCTGACACCATAAAGGCAAGACCCTTCTCTGTTGTTTACCAAATTGCATTGGCATCAAGAGTCAGTGTTTACAAATTTAACCAGCACAATGGAACCAGAACACAGAGATTATTCCTGGCATAGTTGAAAAGTTTCCAGCTTCATCCTAAAAGTAAGACTTCACATCTATGCCCCTTCATGCATATTATTAACCCCACAAGGAAATCTAGAGTTTGGGAAGTTGGGGTGGGGATGAAGGGTAATAATTTTCATAGCATATACAACCAAACTCACTGTTTTATAAAATACAGAATTTATTAGCAATCATCTAATAAATTCTTAAAGCATTTTTTCCTGTTACATGAATCTTTGAAAAAAGATTCTTAAGTTAAGTTTAAGAAAAAAGTGAGTAGAAATTCTCTGACAGATGAAAACAGCAAATTGAAAACTGCTTTTAAAAAATTCTTTATTTTCACACTGCCACCTGCTGCTTACTTAGAGAAAAACTAACATTTTTAAATTTTATTTTTATTTAGGTGTAGTTGGTATACAATCTTATATTGGTTATATTAGTTTCAAGTGTATAGTACAGTGATGCAACATTTTGAAACCTTAAAATATGATTACCTCACTAACCCTAGTAATTATCTGCCACTGTGTAAACTTATCGCAACATTCTTGACTATATTCCCCTTTCCCTTTTCACCCATTCCCCAACTCAATCCCTTCTGGTAACCGTCCCTTTGGGCTTTGTTTCTACAAGACTCTTCCTGTTTTGTTTAGTTATTTTGTTTTGTTTTTAGATTCCACATGTAAGTGAAACCATATGGTATTTGTCTTTGACTTATCTCTTATTGCATATACTCTAGGTCCATCCATGTTGTCACAAATGGCAAAATTTTCCTTCTTCTTCTTCATTGCTGCATAATATTCCATGGCATATATCTATCACATCTTCTTTCTCCATTCATCTATCAGTGGACATCTGGGTTGCTTCCATATCTTGGCTCTTATAAATAATGTTGCAATCAACATAGGGGTGCATATATCTTTGCAAATTACTGTTCTCATTTTCTTTGGATAAATACCCTAGTGTGGAATTTCTGGGTAGTATGATATATCAACTTTTAGTTTTTGAGGAATCTCCATACTGTTTTCCACAGAGCCTGCGCCAGTTTTCAGTCTGAGCAGCAGTGCACAAGTGTTCCCTTTTCTCCATATCCTCTCTAACGCACGTTATTTGTTGGCTTTTTGATAATAGCCATTCTGACTTGTGTAAGGTGGTATTCCATTGTGGTTTTGTTTAGCATCTCTCTGATGATTAGTGATTTTGAGCATCTTTTCATATGTCTGTTGGCCACCTGTATGTCCTCTTTGGAGAAATTTCTTTTCACATTCTCTACCCATGTTTTGATCAGATTGTTTACTTTTTGTTATTGAGTTGTATGAATTTATTACATATTTTGCATGCCAATGCCATATCAGATATCTATCACTTATGAATATACTCTCCCAATCAGTAAGGTTTCCTACACTGAATATAGGTGTTTTAGTTTGACATAGTCCCATTTGCTTATTTGTTTCTTTTGTTTCCCTTGCTTGAGGTGACATTTCCAAAAAGATATTACTCAGACAGTTAGGTAGTTTACTTCCTATTTTCTTCTAAGAGTTTTATCCTTTCAAGCCTTACATTTAAGCCTTTAACCCATTTTGAATCTATTTTTGTATATGGTGTAAGAGAATGGTGCTGTTTTTTAGTGTTGTTGTTTTGCATGTACCTATCCAAGTTTCCCAACACCACTTGTTGAAGAAACTGTCATTACTCCAGTTTATATTTTTACCACCTTTGTCATAGGTTAGTTGACCATATAAGCAAGGGTTTATTTCTTGGCTCTCTATTCTGTTCCATTGATCAATGTGTCTGTCTTTATGCCAGTGTCATACTATTTTGACTGTTGTAACTTTGTAGTATAGTTCAAGATCAGGGAGCATGATGGCTCCAACTTTGTTCTTCTTTCTCAAGATTGCTTTGGCTATTTTGCATCTTTCATGGTTCCATGTAAATTTTAGGATGATCTGTTCTAGTTTTGAGAAGAATGACATTGATAGTTTGATAATAAATGCATTAAA